AAGATTCCAAACCGAAGATTGGGTTAACATTCATTTTACAGCAGGAATCTAGACATCATTTATAAAATTGAGACAAGATGTTTCTATAGAAACAAGCAATAACATAAAAAAAGCAACAGCACTGGATTCCCTTTAGTCAGCCTTTACAGCAACTCAAGTTTAGAATCAACAGTTGCTGGAACAAACTTCAAAATACCAGGAGAGGTTTTGTGCACAGGAGATGAAAAGGCTTTTCCAGATACTTAACTTGTGCATGGGTGGAGCAGAGATGGCTTCAAGAGGAAAAGAGACTTCTCTTGATAAACACAAAAATAAGTGTTGGAACCCCATAATTTTGGGAGTAAATTTCCCCACCAAGAGAGCACCAGATAAGAAAGTGTAAAGACGGGAACCTAGCATAGGAGGGTTGTGGGAGAGGAAACCTGCCTGCCTCCATGTTAAGATCTACTGTCTCTCTTCTCCATTTTTGGGTGCTGTTTATGCTCCTCCTTATGCTCCTACTACTGTCCCTGTAACTTGATCCCATCCATGCCGCAATTTTACATAGAGACTAGATCAAATGCAGTACTAATTCATCTTTTCCTTACACCTGCAACACTAAATTTCCCTACGATTTTGTTTATCAGGGTTCCCCCACTAAAACTGGTCAGCTTGACCCAGCAAAAGGCTTTCAATCCCTGTATGTTCAGCATGGTTTCAATGCACTGGTTTGCTAAATGAAACAGCTGTTAATTCTGTCTTATAAAGAAAGGATTTCTATTTGCTTCTATCTCCAGAATACTTTTTTCTTTAAGATAATGGGATCTTCACATCATTCAAGCAGAGCACGTTATCCTGCTTACTGTAGGCACTACAGTTATGTTTGAAACACTGGATTTTTTTTTTCTTCAAATGCTGTCAAGCCTCAGAAAACCCACTAATGCTTTTTAGAAAGTTACTATCACCTATTATTTTGTAGATATGAACCTCTGCAGCAGACTTAAATTATTTGCAGAGCCTGAACAAATTTGGGATTAAGCCTTCCCTGTCTGGTATGACTACTTTCAGAAACAAATCCCAAGTAGCAAGCAGGAAAAAACTTCAATTTTCAGATTATCTCATTGTAGAATAAATCAGGAATAGGTTTCTAGCCTTAGGCATCAGTTTCCATATATAAGTGCACTTCAAAACATTCTCGGCCGCTACTGATTTATGACAAACTATACCATTCTGTGCAACACAGCATATATCCATTCTACAGTCTGATGAACAATTAGGCATTTACACAAGGGATATCACAAATGTGTTGATATTATCCTCTAGTTCTGTTTCTGGTCATTCTTTCCATGCTGGAGAAATACTAGTGATACTCGAGACTTATATAAAAAGTTCAGGACTCGAACTTAGTTAAGACACCCAAACCTCCTCAACAAAATTCTCAACAGGAAACACCCAAGCCCTTTTGTAATAGCACCTCTAAATCTGATGTCATCTATTAGAAGATAAAATACTCCGCTTATAGAGATAAAACACTGTTAAAAATAATAATAAAACATACCAAAGAGTTACAAACTCAGGTTAATGAAAAGGTGATCATCTAAGCTAATTTAATCTACTTTTGAATACATGTATCACATATTAACTCTGCACTTAGACATTTTCTAGAAGCATTGGGTTTACACTTTAACAGCACTTTGGATTCTATGTATGCAAATCCAGTGTGAGGTGGAGATCCCAACCTCACTGAAGCAGCTGGGGATTTTGCCATTGCCTTCAACTTTGATTATGAGAAACTAAATCCCATTACTTCCCAGACAGACAGTTTTCAGTCCTGAAGGAAGTCACAGTGCCACAGCTTTCAGGAACTCTGCTGTGACACAGTTTGGCTTCAAATTGCCTATGGACAGAGCAGGTGCTGTGTCTGCTGCTAACACCACCTCATCCCTTGCTGTATGGCATGTGCAAGATGCAGAAGACACAAATGCAGGAGTTTTGCATCACCTTTTATTATTACAACACATACTTTTCTATTCTTATTTCATGGTTTAATTTATAGGTGTTGATGAGATTTAGACTGCACTAATGTGACAGTGGCTAACCTATTTTAGAAAGTGGGTTAGGGAAGGAGATTTGATCCTTATCTGTAGTGATGTTGAGAATACAGGACAATGTGTGTGTCTGACTAATAACTATTAGCAGTTAGGAAAAAATTGTGAACTTGCAGGGTGAAGCAGCAACCTGCTCCCACAGCTTCAGCAACAGCTAAATCTTTTGGTGCTTTCATGTACCACTTGTGAAGCCCAGCAGTGCAATAAAGGAGAGGTGGAAGAAACTACCCAGGTTCTGCAGTGCTTTGAAGACTACAGTAAGTGTAATTATTTTCATCTTTGCATGTAAACCTACAAAGGATATTAATCAAATTAGCATCCAGTTCAGCTCTCAAATCTAATCACTGAAGTAATTCTAGTCTATTCAAATAATGAATTCCAAAGGCTATGTATAAAATTTAGTTGCATATCCTCCCATTTTTTAAAAAAAGTGCATGTCAGTAATTTCACTAAGCATGTCCTTGCTGACACAATAAATAAAAAATTAAACCCAGAGGGTTTGGCATTAAATAAGTAGACATTTCCTACAGAGTACTCTCTCTTAGAAAATATTATAGGGTGTATACATTATTATTTAGGTCCTGCTTGTCAGGAAGGTATTCTTTTAGCGTTATGCTACAAGATATGATCTTACACAAACTGAGCTTATTTTGCAGGAAACGGGAAAACCAAATCATACCCAGGTTTGTAGCCTCAGATCCTCACCTAAAAAATCCTCTCAAATAAGGCCAAAGGATTTGCTCTCATGCCGGCTTTACTTCACACCAGCTGAGAGAAGTAAGAATTTACACCACCATCAGAGCAGATTTTGACTCCTTTCTTTTGCACTGCACATACCACTAAGGCGGCGCACGCATTTATACTTCAGGAGAGAATGTGAAACAGGAAAACATGAGTTGAGGATCAGAGTCTGTTAACAGTGCAAACACCCTCAGCAAACACAGCGACACTGCTGGGCCTCCATGAGGTACTCTAGTAAGGACTCAGCCTGGAAACAGGATTCCTGCCTGCTGGAACAGCAGTGTTCAGCAACAGCCCTTCCATGAGAGCACAAAAGGGCAGGGGCTACTGATTATTTTGAGAGAAATATCAACACATTCATGAAAGCAAAAGAAGTACAGCACGTGACTAGCCTTGGTGACACAGGAGACCTCCAAGTCAAGCTACATGTCTGTTCTTTTCCTGAACAAGAGAATCTGGGACTTTCTGTCAAAGTCTGCAGCAAGTGAACGCACCACCAACTCCTCACCTAGCTTTGCTTTTCCCCACAGATAAAAATAAAATACTCCTATTTATTTATCAAATCATGATTAGTTTTTACTGCTATTTTATACGACATTCACATTTTCTATGCATATTAAATAAAGGCAACTCATATTCCTTATTTCTAAATCTAGTTTATTATTTGCCCAGCTGCTGGCACCTCAGTATGCAGAAAAACTATTCCATGCTACAACAGTGAAATATTTCCAGTAAACAGGAAGGATTTTCTCCTCCTTCCTTGTGGCCTATTTAAAATTTCTGCCTTGGTATCCCATTGTTATGCCCCAACTTGTCAGAAAGGGCCAGGATCACTACCTGTATCTGAGAAAAGCCAATAGAGAGTTTCTCAACCACATGTGCCTGTGTCCAACCAAGCAGTACCTTTATACCAACTTCATTTTAAAATGTGTTTAGGGAACGTTGGAAGGCAGTTCTTCAGCATGCACCATCCCCTAGAAACACCATCACACTGGTCACTAAGAAGCAGTGGTAACCTGCAGGGAGCAATCTCCTCAGCAAAGAGTTACAACCAGTTTGAGAGAAAGAACAGATGAGATGATCTAATGCAACTTTTTAACATCTTTTTCCAGGGAAGACAGCAACAAGAACCAGCAAGTATTCCTGACTCTCCTGCGATATCCTGCAGGAGGGCTTAAGGACGCAGAGACGGGAACTGCTGAGCCTCTCTTGGGTGAGTTTGTCCTTACACTACATTCAGGTATGTGCCCTGCTCTGCACTACTTTTCTAGAGAAAAGGACAAGAAGATGCACTGACTTACGTAAATGGTGACCCAGTGAATTCTCAAGTACCAGCATATTTCACTGGCCCACTTCTAGATGTAATATCTGGCAAGTACTACCAGACACTTCCAAATATTAAGCTATTTTATCTGTGAAAGGGCTCACTCATGGTTAAGGGGAGAGCATCTTATAAGAATCTTCAACAAAAAATGTTCTTCTTTTCTTTAAATAAAACATCGATAAAGGTGCATTTAGAGCACTGCCTTTGTCTAAACGCCGGGACGATGCTGTCTGCAAAACAAAGGGTGCATGGAAAGCCAGTTTACAGTTAACAATAGGGAAACGGTCCTTTCATTCCCTAAGCAAAAAACCCACTTCCGTGCAATAAAGACATAAATTCTGAAGAAAGCAGACAAAACCCAACCAACCAAACAAGCAAAAAAAGAGCTGGTAGTTTTCTCCACCTACAATTTATTAAATTTCAGGAGCAATACAGAGACTAAAAGCTTAAAATATTCAAGTGAAGGAACACAAGAGCTAAACTACTGGGGAATTCCGGGGATGACAAGAGCACGCCGGTTATTTCCAGCGAGATACACGTGGATGCCGTGCGGGAACCATCTGCTCCCACCCTCTCCCAGCCGAACTAAGCGTCCCGAAGGGAAGAAGGAGGTTCAGGCGGGACCACCGGGGGGATCCTCCAGCATCACGCGTGGGCAGCCCCACGCAGCTCGGCTGGGTTGCATAAGCCCCGCCGCAATGGAGCGTTACCCGGGAGCGATTCACCCGCGTGGGCTGCACCGGGAACGCCACGGGAGAGGAACCAAGAGGCGTTCACGGGTTCCCGCTGCCCGACGGCGGGGCAGCCCCGGGGCCGCCCTCCCAGCCCCCTCGCCGGCTGACACCCACCTGCTCCTCCGGGCGCCGCCGGTGCAGGGCGGCCGCCGCCCCCGCTTCCCGCTCGCATTCCCCGGGCGGCGGCGGCGGTGGTGGCGGTGGTGGCGGCGGCGGCAGCAGCTCCGCCGCCGAGCCCATGGCTCCTCCGGCCGAGCGCAGCCCGCGCTCCCGCCGCTGCCGGGGCGGGACGGGGCCGTCACGGGGCGCGGGGAGCGGCGGGAGGGCGGCGCCGCGGGGAGCGAGGGGCGGCCCCTGGCACGGCCCCGCACCGGGACTGGGGGGGGACGGGGCGGGGAACCTCCTGCTGCCGGGTCCCGAGTGGGACCGGAGAGCTGCTTGCTGCTAGTTCAAGCTGAAAAAAAAAAAACAACAAACCCCTACCGAAACCTAAACACCCACTTTCCCAAGCTTTTGTTAAAACCAGGAAGCGCCAGGTGTTAATAAAGCGTTAATTTTAGTACCACTCCCTGTTGGTATGTCCCTGGGGAGGAACGGCTGCCTCTTGGCAGTGTGAGGTGTGGCATTTGCTGTTCCTCCCTCGGGAAAGAGGAAACATTGGCCTCGCTCTTCCGAGGGTGTCTGGATCAGGTCCTCTTTCTTTAGAAGGAACTAACACACGCTAGGAAGACGGAAACACAACAGCTAACCCAGAAGATGAGACTTGGTGTATGGAGGATTAGATTTAGATTAGGGGATGTTTAGATTGGATATTAGGGAAAAATTCGTCACTGAAAGGGTGGTCAGGCGTTGAAACGGGCTGCTCAGGGAAGTGATGGAGTCACTGGCCCTGGAGGTATTTAAAAGATGCATAGATGTGGCACTTGGGGACACGGTTTAGTGGTGAACTTGGCAGTGCTGAGTTAATGGACTCGATGATCTTAAAGATCTTTTCCAATCTAAATGATCCTCTGATTCTACATCAATAAAGTGCCACTGCACAGGGGTGTATACAGTTCCCGCTCCAAGCACAACTGTACCTCTCTAGAGAGGCCTCGTTCCTGCCAGCCCTGCACATCTTATCCATGCTGTCAACCCCAGCACAGCACAGGAAGGACGGAGCCTGAAAGTGCAGCTGGATCTCAGTGCATGGCATTCCCAAACTCTAGTGGGACCACTGTCATCACCTTTATGCATCTTTTCTCCTCATCCAGAAGCCTGTTCATGCATTACGGGTGGCAGGTCTGCTTGGCTCAGTTTTCTTTGCACAAGCAATTACTGGAGGTGCTAACAGGTTGCAAGATAGTAGGATTCTGTGCAAATCAGACAGATTAATATTATATGGCTTTTTGGTGACTGTGTATAGGTCCCACTGTCATTTGGAGTGAATTCTACCTGCTGTTTGCTTTTCCTGTCATTATTGTTGCCAACAATCAGCAATAGTTATAGCAAACCTAAAACCATAAAAAAGAACCGCTCAGGGTACTGTGGTATAGTCACACCTGCAGGCTACAAGCAAGTATTCTTCATAAGTGTTGAACAATAAACAAGCCACAGCACTTGCCAGGCCCTCAGTTTGGCTGCAGGGGCTGAGGGCCAACGTGGGGACAGCTGGGACTGTGCACTTGGGGAAGGGGCCACTGCTCTGCCCTCAGTGCTCCACTTGGCTGTGGCTCCTCATCCTAATGGAGCAGCTGGCCTGGCTGCTCCATGAGGTGCAGGGTGGCCAAAAGGAATTTGCCCTGAAGACCTGACTAACTGCTTGCCCATTTATTTCTTAGTAGTGTTTCTTAGGAACAGGGATAAGCTTGATGAAGTATCAAGCTGTTGAAACAGTGCCCATACACCACTGCAGTCTTGTTGGCGTGCAAAATTACTGGACACCAGAAAAAAATCCTATGGACTTCACCACCAAGGGCTGTGGTGATATATATCACGATGTGACTGCTCAGCAGCCGCGTTGTAAAACACCCCCGAGGTTCTCTGCTCTGTGGGCGATTTGTGAAGAAATGAAGTGTCACACAAAGTAGTGACATTCAGTAAATGCCTTCTGAAAAAAAAGTCTTAATTGAAGTACTGATTAGGTGTCCCTTTCAGTGAGCTTTTTAGTACACTTAAAACTTTGCTGATTTGTGAATCACAAAAAAGTGCATTAGAAATTTTTTTTAGGGAAAGTTTATGCTGAGGCCACCACTGTTCTTCACAGTACAGCCTCTGATCCCTGCTGCCTCTTGGACATCAGCAACCATTCTGCCAGGAGTACTACAATGTGTACTGTCTGGCTTGGTGCTATGGTTTCATCCTCACTTATCTGCAGTCCCACTGGTTGGATGTTGATCTCCCTGCAGACGAAGATTCTTCCAGAGCTTCTTTAGTGAAGGAAAGCTTATCATATTTCTTAGTAAGTCACAATCCTCCCTACTGCAGCTGTCGGCCTTTGACTGCTCTTTCACACACTGAGCAACTCAGTGCACTGGAACTGCCTCTGGGTCCCTGGCACTCTCTATGTGGGGAAGCACCCCTGGGGCAATAGCCTCAGCAACCAGGGGAAGAACAGGGACTCAGAAGCCCTCTCTGAGATTTCTTAGGATGCATTCACCTGTGCAACTTTGGTAACCTCAAAGAAACCTATTCCCCTTCATAGCAAACACTCATAGTAAAGGCAATGCCACAATCACATCACAACCTCTAGCTCTTCTTATGATGAACTTTTTGAGGCTTCATGTGCTCTGCACACTGGTCCCTGAGTCTGTGAATGTAGCTGACCTGCTGTGAACTTCTCTGAGTGAGTGATGTATCTCCTTTGTCTTACTGAAATCAGGATTATTTCCTAACATTCATAACTGTGTGGTAGCTTCATAAGGATCTAATCACAAGAACAAGCTCAAGGATCTATATCACCAAAAGAGATCACCACAACTTAGCAACCTTCCTTTCAAGATCACTGTCTGAGTGAAGTTTCCCACTCTCAAAGCCCTCAGGACATGGCTGACCTTCTGCTGATGGTGTCTTCTCCCAGTAGCAATACTCTCAGAAAATGCCAGCATAAACCCCAGCATGACTTAAGTGACAGGTAAAAAAAACACGTGCCAAAAAATTTTGCAAAAATGCAAGTTTAAGGGCAGATTTCTGCACAATAACTGTTTCACGAGGCAACTTGTAGTCCATTTGTAATACATGTACAGACAAAATATCTCCCAAGGAAGAAAGAGAGGTAGCCTTGCAAGACTCTGTTATTTGGGGGTCATTAAAGAGAGTCAGAACTTCATGCAAAAATCTGTAATTAATGGGTTTTTGGGAAAAATAACTACTTGCAGCAGAAGGAAGATTAAATGCTGTAGCTTTGCTCAGAGCCAGGACAGGCTGAGCCCACTGGCCTTGCTGAAACAAAGTGCTGAAACAAGACTGCAAAACGTAGACACAGCTGGAGTGAGTGGGACTAAACTCCCTCTAGATGGGTATCTGTGCTCTAACCAAAGCCAATAGTAGGTACTGGGGAAAGGGTAATAGATGATGCAGTGAAACGTCTTAATATTTCTTGAGATTATTCTTGTGGCTTCTGGTAGTCTGAAGGTCAAAGACTTCCTGAGCCTAGGCTCCAGGTTGGATAGTGAGAACAGTATTTCAAAGGCAGCAGAGGAAGGCCCTCTACCACAGGCATCACATGCAGCCAAGGCACACAGAGTGCTTATACTGGTCTTGTTGCCCAGAGGAATGTATCCCATTCATCCTGCAATTTTATTTTCATGTCCCCGGCCTTCATTAATGCCTCCTTAGACTGCTGTTATGGCTGGGGCAGTGAGCCCCCTCTCCAGGGATGTCAGCTGCTCCTGCTCTCAGGACTTCCCCATCTCAGCTACCTGCCTGAGGGCACAAAGGCAAAACTGAAGCCTGCCAGAGTGCAGGCTTTGGTATGACCATACAAAAAACCCAGGTTTTGGCTGTTTAATTCCAGATTGAAAAGGCCATCGCCGTGTAGCACACACACACCTTCCTGTGTCTGTTCAAACAGGTCAAACATTTTTGATGGATTAGCACTGTGTATACAGGTCTTAGCCAGAGCGGGTATTGTGTCTTCTCTCCTACCTGACAGAAAGCTGGCATGAACACCCACCATCAACCTAAAATGGGGCACCATGTACTATCCAATCCAACAGATACACAACTGTGTGCCTGCATCTGCTCCAGACCAAGCCTTCAGGGTTATTCCCAACACAAAATTTGTTCTTGTGGGGACTCAGAAGAGGCAGAAATAAGATCCAATGGATGTCCAGAGTTCTCACCTGTTTGCTACCTGCCACTTCCTATCAGTGGCAACTCAGCTAACTTCCTTTAATAAGTATGTGGTTAAAGACTTCAGGGAAAAAAAAACAACAAACCTCTTTCCACCCCCCTCTTTATGTGCATCTAATAGCTGTAACTGACTTCAGTATCAGATTCACTCAGATTGCTGACTGCACAGTTTAATCCTGAACCTTTTCAAACTCTAGAGTTCATCTAAATATTAAAAGGCTTGGAAAAAACAGAGGTTCTTTAAACCTCTGTTAATGGAAACTTTTGTCCTAGCTGGAAAGAGGTCAATGTGGTTTTATATAGGATAATGGATTTACTGATGAATGGAACATTTCTAACTCTCTGATGGGTTTTATCTACTTTATATTCCAGATGTTAATATACGTAAATTCTCTAAACTCTCAGACAATTTGCCCAGTATGACCATGGAGCTTATGATGGTCATTGTAGCTCTTACATGGATTTTTGAAGTAAAGCTGTTAAATTCTGTAATTTCCTTAGATCCTTCAAGCATATTAAGAAATACATGATATGGCTTTTCCAACACTGGATACAAAGTGAACTGGAAGAAATTGGAATTCAAACCATGAAAATATATTAAAGTATACTGAATAAAAATGAAATGAAACAATTAATTTGGTTCCTTTTTCTTCTATGTATAATGACAAAAGGACATTGAAGATCACCTCGCATTAGCAATATCTATTCTCCAATAGTTGATATGTATCATGCAATCTCATTTAAGGGTCAAAGCAAAATATACATGGTCTCATATACACGGGCTTAGAAAGGGAGAAACAAAACAGTCATGGAGAAGTTCTATTAAAAAAGGTCACCTGGAGCAGTACTAGGCATTGCAGGGT